TAGGTAATAATTGATGATCAAGTTTCACTACCAAATATTAGCGGTGTGTATTTTCTTAAAAGATATAGTAGATAATCAAATATTTTGTTATTTTGTACTTTGTAAATTTTCGCATAGATCCGGGTTATTTGTCAAAAAAAGCCTATGAGAATACGTATTAGAACTATTCAATATGTTAAAATGTCGCATTATATTCCGATGACAACTATGGCGTCATTTAAATTGAAATTTTTTAATTCAATAATAATAATACGATGTTCTAATAATTGGTCAGAATTAATCCTTAATTATTTTAATAAAATTATTTTACCGGTAATAAAAATTATTTTAATAAAAATTATTTTATCGGTAATAAAAATTATTTTATCGGTAATAAAAATTATTTTACTGGTAATAAAAATTATTTTATCGGTAATAAAATTATTTTACCGGTAATAAAAATTATTTTAATATTTAGACAAATCACATATATGCAGTAAATAATATACACGTTTTAATTACTCTTTAAGCCATAGAACCATTTTTGAAACTTATATAAGCTAGCGAATAGTTTTAAAGCTTCAAAGAGCATGCAACGAGGAATTCAAATTTGGCTCAGAGGTTTCCAGATTTAGAATCTCTGGACGAATTATGCTTAAAAATATAGTATTATAGTAAAATGTCATCATAAAATGAGGATAAACAAAAAAAAAATTCAATATTTTAAAGGGATATTTCGTCATTTTATTTTATTTTATTATATTATTTTTTTGAAACAGAACTCGCACATAATGCCATTGACTAAAAAATTCCTAAACGTGTTTGCGCATTGGCCTTTTATAAATTTCTTTATTTGTAAACATTTAGTTTATACGTACTATAATAGGGAAACAAGTCCGAAATTTAAATTTATTTACTAGGCGTATTTTAATTAATTCATTCAGTTTTAAACAACTTTTTATTGTAAGAAATATCACCTTCTCATTTAAGGGAAAGCGTAAGGACTAATGTAAGATCTATTTTGGAATTTTTTACCGGAACCTTATTATCGTTATTAACTAATTTTAACTAATTTTAACTAATTTTATATATTTTATATCAAAATAAATCATGTGAGATTTTAATATTTAAAAAAATTTCCGGAATCAACCCGGAGGATCCGAATTAAAGTTTGATGAGTGCTGACTAATAATGTCGGAATCAACCCGGAGGATCCGAATTAAAGTTTGATGAGTGCTGACTAATAATGTTATTGATGTTAAGCTTATTTGGAAAAAACAATTAAAATTTTGCTATTAACTTTGAATCAAATTTTTTAAATAGATTTTTACAAAGAATTCTCTGAAACATAATTAAAATAATGCTTCAATCATAAATACTTGACAAAGATTCAAAATCTTGGTATAATACTTATAAGTCTAGTTCAATATTTTTTTTATATGTAACTTATAACAAAGAATTCATAAAATGTTAAAAGAACAATTTATTGCAGGATTATGATGAAATTTTTTTTTTTTTTTTTTTTTTTTACACGAATTATATAGAATAAAAAATATATATATATTCAAATCTATACAAATATTATTTACATAAAACGTTAACATTACGCTAAACCGAAAAAAAAGTTGTACCGAATTGTTTTGATATATAGAAAATTATAAACTTGAAATAAAAAATTTTTATTATTACTGTATGGAGGCCTAAATGGGCCTGATAAAATAATTTTTTTTGCCGGTTCACATGGCCCGCATTTTAATGTGTTCTTAGCATTTCTGGCCCCCGTAGTTTTACTATATTTTAAAAAAAAATTTCAATTTCGACCTAGATCCAATGAACTTGATTAAAAAATTCCCATAATTTACTAGCTTTATTGACATCAATTCGCAATAGCTTTTGTGCATCACTTTTCTTAAATGGGAGTGCCCTTTGAGCGTATCGATGGGCTGCTGAAACAAGTGTATATTTTCCTGTTAAATATTGTAACGGCGTAAGACGAAGAATAGACACTATACGTGCCTCTGTAGGGTGAAGAACATTATTATGAGGTAGATGTGTGATAGATAATGGTTGTCCTTTCCATGAAATTTCAGGTGATATCTTTTCTAATACATCATTATCAAGGTCAAGCGCGTTGATATTAGACATCAATTCGTCAAATTGCAATGGTATTCGAACAGATTTTATATCATTTGAAGCAACATTAATATTGAAAACTGACTCTAAAAGTCCTTGGTCAGCCATTACTCTAGACAAGCTATTTCCTTTTCGTTTACGTTGAGGTGCTGAAGTACCCGAGCGTTTAGTTTGACCACTTCTCGGACGTTGTTGTGACGATCGATGAGTTGTTAATGTATTTAACTCTTGAGTTTTAAGTTTTATATCTTTTTCTGAAAGAAATTCATATGATTCAGGTTTAGGTGCAGGCTGAGGTGAATTAATAATAGAACTGTCAGTTTTAAGGGTGACTTGAGTAGGATGAGGATTATTATTATTATTGAAGGTATTTTGATGTCTATTAACAAAGGTTTTGTAAATGTTTGTAAGACTTTTATCAAATATTAACTCGGATACAATATGATTCGTTTTAAGTGGAGATGACTTAGTGTTAGATAATGAAAATCTAGAAAGGCAATGTGAAGGTATCTTTTTATTTGTCGATTCTGTCTTTTTAACTTGATCTAAGTTATCGGTTGATGAATCTAATAAATATTTTATAGGAGGAAAAAAAGTATTTGCCATTTCATTTTGTTGTGAATTAAACAATGCATTATTTATCGTGTCAAATTTAGGCGACACTTCACTGATCCCGAATAGTCCCCCCAATGTTGATTCATGAGGCAAAGGCGGAGGAGAAGGCAGAGAAAGTGAATTATATTTTTCTTTATAATAAACAGAGCTTTGTTTATTGTAACTTAACGTATTTGAAGAATTCATTTTTAATAGTCATTCTAATAGGAAAAATGTTTTTGGTCTGTGAAAGATTTAATATTTATTAATTAAAGATGATTATTTTTTGCACAATATCACTACGTATTGATATTTGAGTTTTAAAATTAAAGTTTAGTGACGCTTATATATATTCACTGTTATTTTTGTATTTATAATCTATTTATAAATATATTAAATCTGTGCATAAGTAATAAAACTATATATAGGTTTCTGGGTTTATAAATGATTTCACCACACTGCAGTACTGTATAATTATTTTAAAGATGTATTTGCATATATATGTCATTGTGAATATCGATATATAGTACGTAGCATTCATTAATAAAAAAAACTTAATTAAATCAATAAATTGTTTGGTTGGTGCAATGAATTTTCAATAATATTAATCACATTTTTATTTTTGTTTTTAAGAAACTAATTCTGGAAAATTTTTCAGCATTACGAAGCCAATCACAGAAACACACGAGAAAAAAAAAAAAACATTTTATTGAAATCATTTAACATGTATAAACATCATCGCAAGGGCCATCGCTCATGAACCATCAGCTTTAAGATTTTGCGATAAAAAAAATTGGTCAAACCTTCTAACCATTATTAGTATTGGTTCCCAAATTATCCGAGTATTACGTAACTCAAGCTCAACTTAAAATAGGTCAGATAACGAAGGTGTATGATTCAAAGATGCCATTAATTATCGAACTTTACCACTATAAAAAAAAACAATATGATTGATTGAATGATTTTATTGCATATAAGGGAATTTGGTGGCCCTGCAACGTAGTGCAATCATTAAAATAAAACTTTTTTTGTGCCAAACTTGAGATAGAATCAATTGAACTATCTTCTAAAAATCTTTTAATATATTTGTAATAATCGTCGATCCATCATTTTAACGCTCGAGATATTCTAATATTCTTTTTTGTGTTTCATCGTCATTTTAGTATTATCGTCCTCTATTAGAATTATGACCTTAATATGTTTGCTAAGTTCTGCAGAACAGGTTAAAATCATATTCAAAAGTTCTCACTACATAAATTAATTAATCAAAGTTACCTGAATGTGTAAATTTGGATAATTAATTGGCACTTTCTTTTCGCTTCTTTAGAAGTTTAATTATAGTTATATATTGGATTTGTGTCAATATTCCTGTTACTCACCAAGAAATTTAGAAATTGATAGATATATAGGTTTATCTTAATCACTATCATAAAAGTAATCTTATATAAATTATAAATCAGCCTTTTATTTATTATAAACTTTATTCATTTATAGTAAACTTTATATTTCTAATCTTGATTAACCGTTCTTAAATTTTAAATTTACCGTATACCACAAACTAACTAATATATACACAATATTTAATATATAATTTCAATGAATTGTAATTTATCTATACTACAGTTAGTATAATGTACTACAACGTTATCACTTTTTAAAGCTATTTATTAGCTAATTTAAAAAATTATCTATTGTATTTTAAATATATAAATTATAATTATATATCTAAAGTTTAGAAATATTTTTTTAAAATAATAAAATTTAGAAGGTATTGTTAACTTGTTTTTTTTAGTAAGATTAGAGAAAATAAGCTTAGAAAATATGTTTAAAATAGTTTTTTTGACTAAAAAGCATATTTTATCTTAATTTATCACGTGATTAAAATTTATTATTAACTATACTAAGAATATTTTAAAACATTTTATAGTTGTTTATTTTTTATATTTAATATAACATATTTAGCTAATCAAATTTGTTTTATTTAATATTTATTTATTTTATTTTTTGATATTAAAATAACTATTTTGGCTATTAGAATTTATTAAATATTTTTTGTTAATATATATCTAAAGTTATTTATATTTTAATTATTTATTAAATATATAATTAACTATTTATAAATTTTTAGTTATTGTCTAATTTAAATAGTCTATTTAAAAGTTTTATATTTGTTATTATATTTATAACTAATATTCTAAAATAGATTAAAAAACTTTATTTGATTTAAAATTAAACTAATCTAATTTAAAATAAAAATTCAAATTAAATTCAAATTTAATTTAAAATTTTAAAGTTTAATCTAAAATAAAAAAAATAAAAAAACTTTAATTTTTTAATCTAAAATTTTATCTAGTTTAATTTAAAATTTTTAGTCTAATTTAAATTAATAGTATTATAAAGTAAATTTTTTTAATTATTAAACTATATATAAAATTAATAAATTGTTTCTAATAATATAAAATTTATAATCTAACTTATTTATCTGAATTTTAATTTACAAATCTAAAAATTTTATAATTTAAAACCAATTATTATAAAACATATCTATAATGTTTTGTATCTATTATATGTTTTTATTATGTTTTTTAAATTTTCTAAGTTTTTATAAGTTTTATTATAGAAATTTTTAACTTAAATTTTTTTAACTTAAAGTTAGTTTTTAAATTAGTATTAGAGTTTAGAGAAGTTTTTTAGAGGTATAGAGTTTTTTTTTTTTTTTTTTTATACAACGAGGTCTATCCTCTAACTCTTTATTATTATCAAATAAAGAAATACATAAACGTGTACATATATATTTAAAAGAATAAGAGAAGTAGAGGTAAGAGCTAGTTTACTCTTAACCTAAGCTGTGCTAAAAAGGCTGTAAACCTCTAGTCTTCATGCAACTAGTCAATAGATAATTGGCTATTACTAATATATTGATATATCTTAGATTTAATTTGCAAAGTAGAAATTGAATTAGTATAAATATAAGTGACTGCTAGAAGTGGAGCAGGTGTTATTAAAGCTGAAGTATGTATAATTTGTTGTAAGTGTAACCAGAGTTTTTCATATATTGTTCAAATAATTAAATAATATAATAATGAAGCAAATTCGATTCTATAATAGTCTCTTTCAAATAGTACTAGAGTTGTTGATATAATAAACCTAATTGGAACATCGTTTTGAATGTAAAGATATTTGAAAGCACTAATAAAATTAGTAAGATTAGTAGTAGATAATTCAATTTCTGTAGCTAGTGTTGATATTATATCAGTGAGGAGTCTATCAATAGATAAAGAGTTATAAGGACAAGTGAGCAAATGTGCTATTGTTTCAAGAGAAGATACACAGTGAACATATAAATAATTTTTATATTTAGAAGAATTCTATTGATGGAGTATTAAATGAGTTAGGAGTTCTCCAGTGATTATTTTTACTTTGAAGTTCTTTAGTTTTGAGAACTGTGAATTGGTGTGTAAAGATAATGGTCATTTATTAAATGATAGGTAGCTCAATATACTTGTCCAACAGATATCTTTGAATCTTTGAGTCTATTGCTGTATTCTGTTTTGTTTTACTCAAATAGTACTGTTTGTTATCTTCAGCAAGTATTTAAATATTATACGAGTATTATAAACACATAGTGTAGATAATAAGCATAGTATATATCAATTATAGAGATGCTTATAAGGAGTAATATCTAATTCAATTATATGATCTGGTTTGTTGCTATATCTAAGATCCTTGTCTAATAGCAGCATTAGATTTAAAGAGATTATAATTACTTTGGTTGTAAGGAGTATATAAGGAAGTTTAAATTTTTCTAATAAACTAAGTTGGTATAATAGAGTGTTTTGAATTTCTTCAATTGATTTTAGTAAATTTGCATTGTTTGATATAACAGTTATATTTGTACCTGAAAAGAAAGTTGATACAAAAAAGAAAAGAATAGTTAGTGAAGCTTGTAACTAACTAGGCTAGTTACTATTATAGATACTAATAGTGATTTTATTATTTGTAATATAACAAGTTGCTAACGAGAAGTTACTGTAGAAGATATCTTGTTGTTTTGTAATTATATATAATGAGCATTGCTGTTTGGAGTTATTGCTTACTACCAATAAATTCCAAATATGTTGTAGAAATATTGAAAATGCTATTAGTAGACATAATAAAGCTAGTTTCATTGTAGTATCTACTGTAGCATATGTTGATATAGCTTTTTTTAGAGCTAGAGAAATGTCAGCTATATTAGCATGAAGATTTTTATAGAAGTCAACTTGAATAGCATAAAGATTTCTAGTATCATATTGAAAAAAACATTTTTTTGTTTTTAGAGTAGCATCTTTTAGTTCATAACTCTAACATGCTGTTAGTTTGTTGTTTGAAGAGAGAAAGTAATGTCATATTATAGTAACTTTTTGATTAAAATAATTAGTTTTGTCTATAGTTAGATTTGATGTCATTATCTAAGTTTTTTTCTTTGGTCTCTATTTGATTAGAGTAAACAGATTTGGGTAAGTATATGATGTAGTTAGGTTGGCTATTAAGCTAATTAATTCTTGTATTTCTAAAAACTATTTGGGGATTTGATCATGTGGGATTTTTTGAATGTTGTAGTGAAATTCATGCTATTTGAGAAGCTTCATGTTGCTATAGTTAAAGAATTGTTTTATATAGAAAATAGAGTGGTTATTTAGCTTTTGTTTGAGAAAGGCTGTACAAGGATAAAGTTCTAATAGTAGATTAATTGAGGTGCCCTTCAGAGATAAAGGGATTAGCTAGTTATTATCTTCATACTTTATAAGTTGTATATTAGTGAGGTAAGCTGCAAGTATAGATTGAGCTGTATGTATTTGGAGCTGTTGTAGTAAAAAAGTTAGAATATGTGTAAGGATAGAGAGGTTCAAAGCTGTAGAATCTTGAAGTTGTTATAGTCATATCTTTAGAAAAGAGAATTCGAAAGTTGTATGATTTAAATTCTTTATTAAAGTTGAAATCAAGTGAGAGTTTTGAGCTTGAGGTAGATTTATCAACGAGTATATTTCAGGATAATATAGAAAGGAATTTAGTATTCTACATAATAATTTAGCTTTGTATTTAATTATATTAGTATATATATGAGTAAGTGAAATAAGTTGCAAAGATGACAAAAATGTGCTATATAATCAGTAAGTAATTTTTAGAATTATAATACTGTTAATTATGTATATAGCTTGTTTTTT